TAATTGGTGGGTCAGGTAATTAAGGCAAAGAGAAAGAAAAATTTGGGGAGACAATAAAACAAATAGACTTTGGAACACTGATGGGGTAAAGTATTATTTTTTAACAGTGTGTGGCTGTTCATGAGGAATTGAATGATAGGAGTAGGCTAGTCTTTTACCAAGTAATAATGGAGTGCAAATTGCTTTGTGTTTCTCATCTACTATGATCTTTCCCAGTCTTAGATTTGACTTGAGAGACTTGGCCAGTTCCAGCACTCCCTCAGTATCAATGCTAGTGTTGGAGACATCAAGAATAGACAGTGAGCAATTGATGCATATAAGTTCAACAAGTGATAGGACGCTGACTGAAGTGATTCCAGTATTGAACTGAAGTGATAGGTACTGAAGCTTCTTGTTATGCTTTAGAAATTGAGCTAGGATAATGACCCCTTCATCATCAATAGAATTGTGACTGATAAACAAACACTCTACTGTGTTGTTATCTGAAATTTGAGATGAGAATGACGTAACAAAATCACATGTCAATGGAGTTGAGTGAATATACAAATTGCTGATTTTTTTCGTCTGTAACACAGGTACTAGCAGCAACTGAGCAACATCAGAAGATGAATCACTGAGGTAAACGTGTCGATGTTTGTCCTCTATCTTTGTTAGGATATTTGGACACTGCTCTGATGACAAAGAGGTAAGATGAACTTCGAATTTACCCGATTCTATCACTATAACTATAAGAGCAAACATCATTAATGAATAAGAAAGTATAAAATAATGACTTACTTGTGTGCTGATCTTTGCTAGCAAGCTTAGCTCTCAAATCATCAATTTCACGGTGCTTGATCTTTGTCATCTTTTGCTGCAAATCCATAGACTCTGTCATAAACCGTTTATTATGTAAATCATTTTCATTATATGTTTTGTTATGTACCTCTTTGTGCTTTCAGTTCTTCTTCTTTAACAGACAGCAGTTGCTTTGTGGACGATAATTCTACAAAGTGCATACATCATGATTTACGTCATTGCATGATTTTATAATACATTTTTTATTATCATTACCTTCATTTGTTCTCAACAGGTTTTCTTGTACTGACTTAATCACTGATTCATTCTCAACTTTAATTTCTTGTAGTTGGCTTTCAAAATCTTTATAATAGTAATTAGTGTAAAAGATCTCTTTCAAATTTAAAACGAATTTACCGATGGTTCTTTGAACAAGAGTAGCCACCTTTTCCTTCTCCTTAGCTAATTGCCGTTTAGTAGATTCTAATTCTTTATTAGCAGCTGTTATAAGTGTATCAATATTCATTATTTATCATTAATAAAAACAATTCTAACCAGCAATGCTTTCTTTATTATTATTAATCACAACTTGCAAATCTTGAATCTCAGAATTCAATTCTTCAATATTCATTCAAAATTAATTTTTAAATGTGCATGTTTCTTACCATTTTCTTTCTCTTTTATGGCCAGCAGCATTCTTTCCACGATAGCTACATGCACATGTACATTTAATTTGTAATCTGTTATTTTTATTCTTACCAATTCTCTCTTCTTCCTTTCTTTGAATAACAACTAGCAGCTCTTGAGTCACACAATAATATATTAAATCAACAATATTGAATCATTCCTACCATCTTCCTTCTCTTTGAGAGCAGCTTCTAAAGTCTCAATCTTATTCTTCCTTCTTTCCTCAGGGTCTACATACAATACAGCAATGCAAGCAGTGACTAACTTTTTCATATTTTTTACTTGAGGGTTCCTCTTTTCCTGATACAAAACTTTTGTGATCAGCATGGCCCTTATCCAATTCAGTTGATTGTTCACCTATAAAAAATGATCCTGCATACATACAATGACATCACTAAAATAATTATGAGTATGTATACTCATTACATTATGTAAGATGAGTTATGTGCATTTGAATGTCTGCAGGCACTAAAAAACACATGTAAGGTATAATGGGTACATTAGGGCTACAATTCACAAACATGTATGTACTAACAATCTGCCAAAAATACATCAGTGAGATGTTGATTGTAATCGTCAGCCACATCCTGTTTATCTAAAGTCTCAATCTCTTTCTTCATTCTTTCCACATTATCTGTGATCATTCATGAACAAATATTGTGTAATTACAAAATACATTTATTTATACCTCTTTGTGCTTTTAACTCTTCTTCATTAGACAGCAGTTGCTTTGTGGATGATAATTCTACAAAGTGCATACATCAGATTGCATGACAGTAATTACATTTTTATCATCATTACCTTCATTTGACCTTGACAGCTTTACTTGCAATGACTTTATCACTGATTCTTTCTCAACTTTAATTTCTTGTAGTTGGCTTTCAGATAGTTTGAGTCTTTGATGAGTTTGAACAAGAGTAGTCACCTTTTCCTTTTCCTTGGCCAATAACTGTTTAGTAGATTCTAATTCTTCAATAGACGCTGTTTGAAGCATATAATCATTAATAGAAGTACTAACCAGCAATCTTTATTTTATTATTACAAACAACAAAAAAACAAAAACAATACATTAACTATGTAAAACTATAACTAAGAGGTGCCTTCCTCAATTTCTAATGAATCTTTCTATTTCAAAACATAATTATGATAAATGTAATTGACATACATACCATCACTTACCACACTAAATACAATAGTGCCATCAACAGTAATTTTAAATACTCCCTTAAATATAAAAAGACCTTGATTATCTCTAATATAATCCTTCATCTCATCCACTAGCCAATCTGGTATGAAGCAAACAAATGTCAGTAGACTACTATGCACAGTCTTCAACTGAATGTACATATGATATCCTCCACTGCTAAAGACATCTATGAGAAATTCCTTAAAATCCTGAAGTGTTGTTTCATCAATAGGCCATGCTACTACAAATGTCATCTATAAGAATCATGAAAATCAAGTGTTGCTATAAAAATACAAGTCTAACCTCTCTACTATTCCTTTTATCATAATGTTCAATAGCACTTTTTGCAAAGTCCTTTGCTAAAATCTTCTTGTATATTTCTTTCTGTTTTTCTTCAAACTGGTTTAGCTCCTCTTTAATATCAGCCATCCCAAGTTGTTGCATAAAAATGGTTAGTATGTCAAAGTTCCAAGAAGAGCAGTGACCTCGAATTATGCGCATTACACGTAGTTTACTACCACTACCTATTCGCAAGTTATCAATTTCATCCTTATCTGATGGCCAATAGTACATCATTTTGGTTTTTAGCTCATCCAGTGTCTCCCTTTTTTCACAAACCCGATTAACAAATTTTTGCAAAATTTCTACAAATTCACTGCTCATTTGAAAATACTCTTTCTTTAATTCACGAGGGGCTAAAAAAATATCTTTAATAACTTAGATCAGATGATCCAATCTTACGATAGATTCTTTGGCCAGTATTTTGCTCTTCTAAAATTAAAATTAAAATGAAAAATAATAACTTTACTGTAAATCAGTTTATTTTCATGGTGAAATAGTTTCATGAATTTGCCTGCTATTAAGATATACCACTTGCAAACTGCAGCACAGTGGCAGAATTTTGTAATAAAAATCATTACAATGAAACTAAAAGCTTGAAATTTGCAAAAATATTTCATTTTGAAAGTAAACTGACCATGATATTGTCAGTACTGTAGTAAAATATTACCTTCTCTGCCTCTAATTTTATCTGCCAAGGCTTTCTCTTCAATTCTTTCTAATATCTCAGCTAATCTGTTCCATGATGGCTTTCCGCCCGGCTCACTATTCACATTGTCTCGTCTACTCAACCAGCAAGACAGACACTCTATGAAACGATCCTTAACATTTGCTTTGTTAGCTTCTATTTCATCAAGTGTATTCTTGTAGAGACCAGCATTCAATCCAAATTCCTGCCATTTGCTGGTAGAAAACTGTCCCTGTTCTAGCTGAGTCAAAATTTCTTGCAAGTCAGTGATACCTAGTAAAAAGAACTGAAAAGAGTGAAGCTAAACAGAAGAAAATAGATCTAACCGAGAGAAGAAGTATCACCACCAACAGCCATCCAGAATCACTGAATGGCACCATAGATATTGCTATCTATGATGGCACTGATTTACCGTAGGTCGGGATATATTCGCGGCTGCTTATTTTCGCGATAATAAAAACTAATAAAAAGGTTCAATTAAATACCATGGAAACCAATCGATTGTTGCTATGACAATAAGACCACGTGTTTATACAATTACAGTGTTCAGCAGCTATTTATCTATTCTTTAGCAGCTTCAGTGGGAGCCATCCAGTTCTCCATCTGCTATCTTCTTGTATAGACCACTACCTTCGAGCTCTTCGCTGCAAATCCTTGCCGCTCCACTTGCTCATAGATAATAGAGTAAAGGAAAGGGATTGGAAACTCCCGTTCGCGGCTGGAAATGCTAGTTGCGCTCTAGTCTACCGTATATAATTTATTTACATTTTGAAAACTTTTCTGTATAGATCCATAGATCTAAATGAGTGGTGCGTAGTGGTAGTCTAGTAGTGAGCTGTGCTTAGTTTTGTATATTTCTACGAAGACTTTTCTTTTTCTGAAGGGTGGTTTTTTTCTGAAGTTTGTACTGCTCCATAATTTTGTTAGTGTCAGAAAATATTCTGAAATTAATGTACTCCTGAAGCAGCAGATCTAGAAGTATAGCCATTAGCTCGTCTGCACTCCTGAGTTCCTCCCAAGAACTTGTTATAGACTTGCTTGATTTCAAGTGAGTTATAACTTTGTTTTTGTCTATTTTCTGCTCTGTAGTAAACTCATCTAATTCTTCTAGCATCCTCTTGATCTCTTTTTCTAAGTTTATCATAAAGTTGTAAAACTCATTTGTGCAGCGCGTGATGATCGGTCATGATTGATACAAAATCAGAGTTCATTTCAGAGTCAAGTGTTATGGTGTTAGCTTCTTGTACTTTTAGCAACTGGCAAATTATTGTTTCTGCTTCTTTAAGTTTGACTTTTAAGTGTTTAACTTCACTTGCAAGATAATCATGGGAAAGATGACGATAATTAGTGTATGGTGATGAGGAAGCTTCTTCTTGATGTGTGTTTTGCCTACTTATGAGTGCCCTTAGTGTGTTACGGTACTGGGAACACTCATGACATCTAACATTGAATGAACCAACAAAGAGACAATAAACATGTCTAATGGTTTCAAAGGGATATTCTTCTAACTCAGCAATGGTCTGCCCTATAAATATACAAATTATTTTAATACATGTACAGTATTTGTAAAATTAAGCCTTACCACTTTGGTTGAGCATCTTTCCTCCTTTAAAACGTATTAATTCAATAAACTTTTCATCACTGCTACCTTGACAAACTTTCAGATTGCTAATGCTTTTTAGTGTGTTTATTAATGTGCCTTCATTGTGTAGTACAGTGGGTAAATGAAGAATAATAGTGTGGTTAACTGTTCTATTAAATGTGTTCAATGTGTATGTGAGAGATGCATTGATTGTCAGAGTGTGATAAATAGTGTGTTTTCCCTTTAAATGTGTCGTGTTAAATATAATTACAGTGTTGGTCGATTCATCATTTTTTCTAGCCCATCCATCTGGCAATTCCATTGCTTTCAGTAATGTCCAGAAATTGTTTGGTGGTTTACAAAGAAGTTTGATGGGAATTGATACCTTAAGGTGCTTTGATGATGAAGGTTTGCGCCTTTTATTAAATGTACGTATGCGGCCCATCTAAAGTTTAAAAATGTTGTAAATTATAAACTATCTTTTACTTTAATATCAACTATGCTTATTATTAATATGTAGTCATTGTACTTTGTATCAGGTAAGTTTAAACCCTTTCAAAATAAGTCCCTTCATAGAAAAGTGTACCTGAAAACAAGGCCCATTTTTACCTTTTTTGGCTTATTATGTATGCATGAAGTTCAAATAGAATAAATTAAATTCTTATTAATGTAATTCACTTATAGCACTGTTTGTGTATAATGCTTGGAGATCTTGGGCTTTTATATTTTTTGTAAAAAGTGTACCTAAAGCCTTAATTGGTCATTTTTGTGCATTGCCATCAATGTTAGTCATTTAAAAATCGGGCGCATCATGAATATTATCATTTATTATTAATAAATTAACCCATAAGTTACCTGGGAGGAGCTTGGTTTGACGCTAGAGCTTCTGCTTAAAAGAACAAGAGGTTAGAAAGAAACTTGGTGGAAGAGAAGTGGAGAAAGGAAAGCGCAACTAGCATTTGATTTGTGTTGTTGCTAAGCTACCCTATAAAACCGTGCTGTAAACTTCGCGCCAAAAGGTCGCGTTGCCTATCCCTTTCCTTTACTCTATTATCTATGACTTGCTGGTGATAATTAACCACGCCCAAGTCAATAAATGGGTGGAGAGTCCCAAGAATGGGCCAAGATACGGCGAGGCAGAGTGAAGAGAGTAGCTCCGGTTGAAACAGCTCCAAAGAGACCAAGGATTAGTAACAGCAAGAAGAACAACAGCCCAAGAACACTGCAACAGAGTCCTTTGCTATTAATATCGCGGATTTTTCAATAAAAATTGCATTTGGTAACCATGGTAATTGCTGAGTGCGGGGAAAAATCGCGAAAATAAGCAGCCGCGAATGGTCGTCCCTAAAAAACGGACCGGACCGGACCAACGGACCATGGTCGGCGACAAATCTGTTTTACTGACCCGAATGGTCCGCGACATCTCTATTTTACGGACCACTTTGCTCACTATACCGGTAATCTTATAGATGCTAAAAATTATAGCCAATGCTTTGTCAAGATTTATTCTTGGTGTAATCCTGCTTTTCGGTTAGATATAAGCCCAAACCTCAAATATGGAATCA